GAAAGCACTGCTCTGGTGCACAGACATAGGTGAAGGACTGAGGCCATCCAGGAAAAATGACAGTGTCAGTTTTTCTGTTTCCTTCCTTAAATTCCCTGAAGGAAATCAGTGCAGATCCAGAAGTGCCAAGAAAAACGCAAACTACTGCTGTCAGTGCTCACAGCTCTCACTCCAGCACAGGACGGGAGAGTCACAGAGCCCAGGCTGCCACGGCGAGATGCCTTTCTCCAAAGGAATCCCACTTCTCAAACCCTCTCTGACAAGTATGATAGCAGCAAGACTATAAGCAATATAGATCCTATAGACCTGAAGCTATGTGTTAACGCGTGACAAAAAAAGAACTGAAAAGAAGTCTTTACATTAAAAGTGTAAATGATTAAAAATGATAACAAAACCTGTTAAAACTCTCTTCTGTAGGAAAATGGTATTTCAAGACTTTTTTTTAAAAAACAGGTATAATTTTGATGCCACCTCACTTCTTAGGAAAAAAAAAATTTAAACAATCTGTCCAATTCTGACATCCAAGAAGAGAGGTTTGTGTTCTCTAAATGTTCAAAATCCAAGTTAAAAAAAGTCAATTCATTATAATATAGCCCCTTACCTCCTCACTCCAAAATTCCATATTAAACTTTTGACTTTTTATTTTTTGCCTTCCAGTTCAGGGCATCTTTCTCCCCCAAAAGCCTCCAAGCTAGTTCATGAGCACAACATCTGTCTTCTGACCCGTGAAAATGATGATGTCTGTATAATGGTCTCACTTACTTCCAGAGCGACTGCTCATGGTTAGCAAATAGTGCAACAATATTTCTGCAGCTGCCAGTTCTCTAAAATTTTCTGGGATCCAACATACACTTTAAGGTCCAAGATGATCATCAGATTCAACCTTCAGTTCACACACGTGTAACAGGCTTACTTTCCCTATAGTGGTAAATGAAGATTGAATTTGAATCTAGCAATGAACCCAAACTCTGGTGCCAGCAGCACCAAGTCCCTATAAGTTGTCCTACTTCTCCGGAACGGGGAAAAGAAAAATGGGCAAAGCTTAAATTTGGCACTTCCAGAGTCAGCTCTGCTCCACCCCTTGTCTCCTGGCAAAGACAGAAAGATGGAAAAAAAGATTTACAAACACCAATTCAGAAGAACTGAGTCTTCACTACAACAACTAATTTTTTGCAGTTGTTATCCTGAAGTGCTGTTCTATCTCGTATATCTAATATTACACAAAAATGCTATTAAAGGTACTCTCATCCATTTGCTTTGGAAAATGTTTAATTTTCTGTACACACTTTATTCCAAAGTCCAGAAAGACAAAATCCACTTGCGTTCAGGTAAAGTGCTTTGAACAGACAAAGCACAAGGTAAGTGCTAAGAACGCTGTTACCAGCGTACGGCAGGAACATCTGTACAGGGATACAGCTCTTAAAGGACGGGAAAGCAAAGCAAAGCATGCAGCCGCGAGCTCCCTCCTCGCGGCAGGCAGCTGCTTGAGCACCGGCTTAGGTGGAAGAGACGCGTTTGTGTCCTTATTGCACTTAATGACTGCAGGTGGTTGCTTTCAGTCAAGCCTGAACTACAAGACTATGACTCGCGCTTCTTTAACAGAAAAGGAATGCCCCAGCCGGCAGCACGCCGGATCTCATCAGGCACAGCCGCGAGGGGACGGGAAAGCTGAACCAGTGCCCCGGTAACAACTCCACGAAACAACACGTAACGCTCCAATCACGACATTTTGGAGGCAAAGTGCTTCAGAACCGTACAAGCCAAACTTTCAGTGCAGCAGCCACCAGACTCAATCCCACAGATGGGGCCGCCGGCTGCAGCCCCAGCACACAGCGCCTGGGACAGCCCATCTGCAGGCTGCACTACCGCGTCCGCAGGCACCCATCGCACCCCCGCTCGCACAAGTGCAAGCTGCTTCCACTGAACCCGCAGTGGGCAATGTTGGAATATCAGAGTCACAGCAGTACTAGGAGAACTGGACCCGGAAACACCACATTTTGTTTCGTGAACTTGGTATTTTACACTGTTAATAGCTTTTAGCCACTACACATTTTAACGACTCAAGTTGCACTTGATCTGTAATAGACATTCTGGGCTCAAATAATTTTCAAGGTCAGATTAATCCTGTTACATGTTCTCTCGTTGTAAAATGGCACGAAGTCACACCTGACTTGCAAGATAAACCTAAATAGAGATCCCTCTGCACGCCGCGCAGTTCTACCTAGAATTTGTATCAGTTATAGAGAAAGAAAAGAAGTCCTTCACAAAGGCAGAGGAACGCCATTAAGGCTAAAGCTTTCTAACAAAGTCACCCCCATTACCCTGATGGCTCTTTCGCAGCATCACGTCGCAGCAGATTCATGCATTCAAGGAACTTTACCAAAATCTGCCCCCAGAAAGCCCGTGTGACTCCTCTATTCGCTGGGCAACTCCGGGCAGTCACCGTGTGTCTGTCTTAACCAGCAATCCAAGCCAGGGAAGAGCATTCAAATCTTCAAAGCTTGGCACTCAAATTGTACCCGCAAGATCTGTACACACTCCATCAGCCTGCAGCAACCTTGTAACTCCCTAACCCCATCTCCTCCCCATTCTTGCAGAGTCCCGGGGTAAGATTTAGAGTAGGACCTTGAAGATCCTGCTGCTTCGCAAGTGCAGGTTGTCCCCGCAGACCAAAGCATGGCTGCAGAGTTACAGATTTGCACTTGCGTGAGAAGAACAGCAGCAAAATCCAGCTGAAAGTTTTAACAGCGGCAACTGCAGCTGTGGAAAACTATAACGAGCAGGCAGCCCAACCACCACGCTTTGGGAAGAGTTGTCCCTTTCGGTGGCTTTTTATTCTTCCTTTTTTTTTGTCTCTATAATTTCCTACAGAAAGCAACTGGAGATGGGGCAGAAACAGGCCAGAAAGGAGCAGCACATGAGAAAGTCCATTACCTCCCAAAAAGCCTCCACAAACTGACACAGCAGAAGCAATGACTTCTTTGGCTTTCTTATGAACTTATTGGGGCTTATGAGTTTGGATTTCATAGAAGAAGATATGTTCACCCCAAGATGCAGGTTCCTAATTAATTGGCACTACTGCAAATAATGGGTTTGGGGGATTTTTGTTGTTTTTCAGGAAGCAATTTAGTTCAGTTTAATTTCCTAATGCGAAGTACCAGATTCAACAGATCTGGTATTGGTGTCTGGTAAGGATGCCCACTAATTATAAGCATGCCTTTTATTCACCTGATTGATGGTGATGCCTTGTGGTACACACATGTTTTACTCCAGGCACTTTTGAAACCATGGGATCTTGATGCAAGAGGCCATTTAAGCACAGTGGGGAAATCCTTCTCTGAAGGAGTCACTGCACTCTGCTGTGCTGGCCTCAAGCCATACCAGCAACATCTCTGAAGCTGCAATGGCCGTTTCAGTTGTGCGTCACGTGTGTCTGGATTCTCAACCAGTGCAAATGGAGAGAGAAAAAAACCTCACCACACTCAGGTGCAGACCCAAGCAGAGTCCAAAACCTCAGCTCCAAACAGAACAAACTGCGAAGCCAGCAGCGCCGCATGGAGGGCGATGCTCCAGCCTAGGTGGTGGAGGTGGGGTCTGAGCATGGTTCAGGACTGTGAGATGCTGCTGGGGGCCAGCTAAAAGGAGGGTCAGAGGATCTGACACAGACCTATGGGCCTTAGTATGTGTTAATAACAGGCTGTGAGGGCACTGCAAGCCTGCTCTTGAAGCGTGCCCCCCGCCATGCACTGAAACTTTCCAGGAGTCCAAGGCAAGAGCAGTGGGCAGCACCCTAGGGAGGACTTCATCTCCCAACACACCCACCACTCTCCCACCCAAACATTATCATCCAGATGCCTTGGACTAAAGGGAATTTCATCCTGATGGGTTGTTTTCTCTCTCTCCCAAAGGCAGTTGCAGACTGATAAACATCTTCAGAAAAGAGAGCGGAGGGGGATTAACTGCAGCCTTTTAACTTCAGGCTTTCAAACCCGCTCGCGCGGCTCCCGAGGAGCTGAACCACGATTGCTCTCTCCCTTGCTCAGACCTCGTGCAAAGTCTTTCTGCCAGGGGCAACAGGGGGGACCGCAGGAGAGCAACCTCAACCCTGCAAAAACGGGACGTCCTAATGAAGATACTGAGAGAACCGGACACCATCGCTGCGTGCTGCGAAGAGAATTTACATAATATTACTCTAACAGTTCAGTAAAAATGGCATCGGTAAAAGGAGGCTTTCAAGGAAGAAGTTACCCCCGAACACACAGGGAGTGCAGCTCAGAGAGTTTCTGTTTCATTTTGTGACATAAATCACCATTACTATTTCTTTCTTACGATGCTTAAAAGAGCAGGAGGATACTTGAAATAAAGGCTGTGCATGCACAATACCCACACAAATAAATTCCAGTGATCCACCCCAGCACCAGACACGGTGCCCTTCCCTGGCCACAGAGCTGAGCCCTCCCTTTAGGAGGGGTAGGGGAATTCATCACCAAATATACAATTTATTATAATGGAATGATATCAGGAAACAATACTAATTGGAGTCTGAACGTGTCCTCCACATCATATTAATCTACTGTTTAACTTGCAGAAAAGACAGTGAGGAAATAAAAGCTCAATTCACCCAGCCTGAGATCAAAACTGTCATGGCAATATTGGCAGGTTAGACCCTGATTCTTTAAATAGTACATTGCCTTTGTTAAACAAAAGTCATTCTTTTATTACATAATAGAGATTATAAATAAATGTAAAGTGTGCATGCAGTCAACTGCATATTATACAAGCAATATCTATGTTAATAATTGTTTTCTTTGGCAGGCCAGAATCCAGCTGGACATGCAATATTTACATATCAAAATCCTTGGTGTGTTCAAGTCATATTGGATGCAAGTGAAAATATATATGTATATATATTTACCGTATACACACACACATATATATGTATAAGGGTATATATACACCTCTGCATATATACTGTATACATATATACACATAGGTATATGCTAAAAGTGGATTTCATCTTTTTCTGATTCAGGTGATGCAGGCCTTGAAACACTAAAAATATCCTGACAGGGTATCTGGGGAGGCTGCTGGGGTGATAAACGAGACTTGGGGGAAGAGATCTGGGGCACGTTCTTTTCAGACAATATTTTTAAAATTTCTGCCACCTGCTTCTCAAGGGCAGCCATCCTACTGCTTAGCAGCTGGATATCTTCTTTGAGTTCGTGCTTGACTTCCTGCAGCGTGGTTTGTAAGGCCTGCTCAGGAATGGGGTAGAAAGGATGCCTACCATCAGCCTGAATGGGGCTGTGCTCCAGCGGGCTGCGAGTCTCACCAGCTTTATCCAAGCGAAGGTCACTTTTTGTTATTCCACTGTCACAGGAGTCTGTTTTCCTCAGTGGGTTTTTATTTACACCATTCTCTGGGTCATTGCACTTGGGGTCGTCGGACAGCAACCCCATCGACTCAGCCTTTGTGACGTTGTTCCAGTCCTCCTTCTTCTCCTCGTGGGTCCCCATCGTGTTCTTCAGTCGAAGCCACCCTTTCCCGTTCCCATTTTTCATCCGCATGGGACTGTTTACTTTCAGACATTTTTGGTCTCCGTTTCCATTTGGTTTAAGCTCCATTGCATCCCTGTTGTTCTGCTTCACAGCTTCACTGGTTTTCATGTAAGCCAGGGATGTCTGGATGGGGGTGATCTGAGACACGGTGACCACGCTGGTGCCTGTGATGGAGGCCCCATTCTGCACGCTCCGGCTTTCCACCTGAAGCTGGTTCCTTTCCGGGTCGATGTGGGTTGAGCCTTGATTACGCATCTCCTTTTGCTGTTTGAATTTCTGGAAGAGTTTCCGGACGGGGTGGTCCACAGGGATGCTCAGCGTCACCTCATTCTTCTGGCGCAGGCGCTCCTCTTCTTCCTTCTTGACATCACTGATCTTCCGGAAGATGATCTATGGGGATAAACCCACAACAGAGTCAGTACCCAAAATATATTATCAATCACATACGGCAAACTTTACTGGGAGATGGGGAAACGATAATGAGAGTTCTCCTTCCTTTCTATCTTAATTTCTTGTAGTGAATTCAAATGGAGCTGATCAAGTAACCTCAGATATATGCCGCTGCATATATACACACACTTTCTTAAAAGTACACATTAAAAGTGTGTTTCACCTTTATTTTTGATGCAAAACACAGAGCCTTGAAGAACTAAAAATATCCTGACACCAAGAGAAGGAAAAAAAGTAAATAAAGAGAAGGAAAGAAAGTGAATAAAGAAAGAAAGTGAGCAAGAACCCAAATACCATGATACCTTCCTACCCATTACGCACACTCATACCTGCTCCACCACTACCTTTAGTACAGACCAAAAGGAAACAGTAATTCAGTGGAAACTACACAGCTGTAAGTTTAACTCAATGCACATACCTTTCCAGAGACTGGAAAATCCAAATGTGCTTAATACTTTTTAGTTCTCCTTATTGCTAGTTTTATAGCAGTGGCTGGAGGGTGCAGTTAGGTTCCTCATGTGCCATGTTGTGTGGCTTCATGCAACACAAGCGTTTCCTGGAGTGTTTATATGTCTAATATGTGTGGGTGTACTGGGGGCACCATGGAGAAGCACTGTAACAGGAGTGTGTGATTGTAAAACCCAGGAATATCCACCGTTTTGGGATGCCGTGCCATTTAATGCTGCAGTTATTTCACCCTGCAGCATCTCTCAGCCTCCATAGAACAAGGAAGCTGAGCCTCAAGCTGTGAAAGGATCCACAGAGTAAAAAACTTCCTGTTGACTTTATACGTGTTACCCATATGTTGTTGTGTTTTGGTTTTTTTTTCCCCCCAGGTTCATTCAGTTTTCTTGAATGTGGGACTGAGGCAGGATAGGGAAACTCTGGTTCTCTGAATGACGATACTAAAGCGAAAAGCAGCCCGTGATTAAATGCAAATACGGACTGTGTAGGGATAATCTCGGTAAGAAAAGTAAAAGAAAGCCCCTGCAATACACAGAAAACCCTCTGTGACAGTCAGGTGTAGGTTTTGAAGTATCCATTTGAGTATCCACATTTCAGTGTCTATTCACTATTTATAAAAAGGCTTCTCACACCTGTCCATATTTGCAAAGGAATAGTGTCAAATCTCAGATCTTCAGAAGTCGGCAGAGGAGTGCCACGATGGCTACAGCTCCTTCCCTGCATGAATCTGGGATGACCTGGACTTCAAAGCTTCATTAGAGAGCTTTCAAATGCAGTAAATACATCCTTGTGTGCTGCTGATAGATGCAGCTGCTTATAATAATTTGGAAAGTTGTTCATTAGAAGCCCAGTATAAAAAAAAGCAACAGAGAAACATGGAAGATACTTTCATCTGACTGCTCTGATCTACATGCAGCAACACATACACTCATTTAGAAGCTCTCCTTCATTAGAGTCTACCCTCATGGAGCAACTGTCTCTCAGACAAGACACTGGGGACAGTGGGGCAAAAGAAGTTGCCCTTGATTCAAAATTAAATAATTACATTTAATTGAAGCCATGCTCTGTAAATGAAGATTTGGAAGGTGGGGTGTGTTGTTTTGTTTGTGCCTTTCTTTCCCTGCAGCATGGCACCTCTGGCAGATGATGCAATGCTGAAAGCAACCAGCTGCAAGGATGTGTCCCCAAGACGTGTGTCAGAGAAGACGGCCGGTTCCTCCTCTGGCCTCCCCGTCTGGCTGTGCTGGTCTGGCCTGTGCTGTGCCAGGCCGGAGCGGCTGGGTCCCTGAAAACACCTGGGGTGGAGAAAACATCCTGTACCCAATGTTTCCCTGCTCTGTGGCCACGATCCTATCTCACATCCTCCTCTCCCCCAGCCAGCTTGTGCTGGAGATGGCCGGAGGCAGGCAGGGATGCTGCACGGCAGGCAGCTGCCTGCAGTCTGGCAGGGGCTCGCAGCACTCCTGGGTCCAGAGCAGCAGCGACTGCATGGCCAGGAGAGGCACGAGGTAACTTTGGTACCTTCTGTCCAGGCGGCTGTTTATAAAGACCAGAGAGACAACAACAAAGACCACAGTGCCAGCTTTTTATGTCCCCTCCAAACACTCATTCTTCACTGAAAACTACCCTTATCTCCCTTTTCTTCCACCAGCCTACTCTTGTTCTTTCATGTCTCCCTTTTCTCCTCTCAGTTCAAAACTTCTCCAGCCAGAGGTTACCTCCCTGCACAGAATATAATTACCCATGACTGCTGCTACTGCCTTCTGCAGAAGAAAAGCCAAGACTTTGCTAATTTAACACTGCCTTTACCTCAGATTCCTGAAATGGACCCTTCCGAAAGCCAGGAAATCACTACGGGGTTTTTCTGCCCCAGAACCACTTGGCCAGATGTCACTCAGATGAGCCGAGCCCAAGGAGCACAGGGGTCTGAGCCCGAGAGCTCCTGTGCCTCGGCACGGGGTCAGCGCTTTGGGGAAAGCTGAATGCACCCCTGCTGCAGGGATGGGAGGCCGAGGTGATGAAGCCCATCAGATTGGCAGTGCAGATCTGCTCCGACCAAGTGAGACCAAGGACCCAGTAACCACTCAGAGCTGTGGGCTTTCTCCCCACTTTACGCTCATACGGTGAAGACGCGCTCCCAAAGCCCTGCTGCCACCGCCCCAGGAGGAGGTGTTCCTTCAGCCTCTTGCAGGATGCAGGCTGGAGCCTGGCAGAGCTCCTCCATAAATCCTTTCCTCTTTCTCTGCTTGGGACAGAAAGTGCTACACCCTGGAACGATTATGGGCAGCTCCTTTGAAGAAGCAAGCCTGCTGCGCTCTGAATTAGCACAGAAAAAGCCCAGGGACTTGGAAATCCAGGGGCTCGCCGGGAGTCAAGAATTCAGGACTGATCTACCTTGGTGGAGCCGTATTTTCAAGGGAGCAAATGTGGGCTGATGCACAGCCCTGTGCCCACCCTCCCCTCAGCCTTCTCATGAAACCCAGATGTGCTCACAGGTGTTTGCTATTCTCTCTGTCACTCTGCAATGTGTAACCATGCAGACCCTCATATCCCAGCTGACGCTGTGAGATTACGGCACTCTGGAGACCAGGGTCTTGGCCCTCGTTCACCCACTGAATAACTCTGTCACTACAAGGAAACCATTTCACCCCTGCGTTACCCATGGAGACTGTCCCCTCTTCAGGATGTCCACGCTCAACCAAGGGAGCGCTACGCCCAGGGCAGCAGGGATCTAGTCTTGGTCAGGACTACTCGATATTGTTAGAATATGTACAAGTAAAAGGAACGAAAGATCCTCTTATACAGACAAAGAACTGGGGAAAAAGTGAGATGTGAATTCTAGCAGTAATAGTTGTTTTTCATTACCAATTTTTTCCATATTAGGAATTTTTTCATGTGGTTGGATTTAATCCACTTCCACGGTGGTTTAACTTAAGCCAGAATAGGATTAAATGTGTTTACATGGAGACTTAATTCTATTAATGTCTAATAACTATTACTGGCTATTTTTCGCTATAAATAAGAACAGAAAACCACCTCATGCAATCTGACATTCCTCAGCAAATTGGGAGAGGCTTATTTTGAAATCTTAAATTAGATGAGCTACCTCAGTTGTCCCTGACCCTCTTCAGAGAAACCTCTGAACACAGGCCTGTCCAAACCTATGGCCCAGGAATAAACTCAAAACCCAAAGGAGTTAATCAGAAGAAACTGAATTAACTGTGTGTATAGCACATCTCAGAGTAAACAGCCATACCCCTGTCTCACAGCAAGTGCTTAAGTTCATTAATGTGACAGAGATTCAGTGTAGGACTTCATTTTCTTTACGGGTGGGATTGTGAAAAACTGCCCCATGCGACACAAATCCTGTCTCCTAAGACCAGGTTCCTGTTTTTCTTGCTTTTAATGTATTTATTTTGGGAAGGAGGGGGAATGGAAGTGATGTTAATTACTGAGCTGGCAAAGGTTAAGTAGTAGCTAACTGATGGCCAGTCCTGGGAACTGAAGTACTTGGGTTATCTACGAGGCAGGCATAGAGGAGACAACAGCAACTTGAGATTGTCCATTTGATCTTAACCACAACCTCCTTTCCCTCCCCTCCATACCAAAAGGCAACTTGCCGTGACTGTGAACTCAGCCCATCACCACTTCCAAAGAGGG